TTTCAATTTACATCTGTGGCAGTTCTACTTAAATAAATTTCATCAAAGCAATGCAACAGTTAATGTTCTCTCATTGAACTACTCTTTGGAGCTTTGAGATCATTGAAGTAAAAGATTGTGGAGATTTTGATTTTTTTTTATTTTTATAAGAAGATTAAAAGTAGTCCATGAAGGTAGCAAACACTTCCAACGTGGAGTTGTTGGAGTTTCGTCCATTCAACTGATGTCTTTACTTTGCTGATAGCATTTCATTGTGTCCTAGGCAGAGTTAGCATGTGTCTGGGTTTCATTATAATCTAACAAAATGTGTGGATAATAAATAGATAATAGTTGTGAATGTATGGTTAAAATAAAAGTTTGACGGGAAATTGTAAGTAACTTGTACTGTTTCCCAAACATAGGCTTAGTGGCCGTGTAATAAGCCACCATTTTGCTGTGTGCTACTGGCAGAAATTTCTTGGGGGTTTGTTAAAAAAAGACATGGTGAAAATAGCAGAATAACTGTCAATAATCATCAAATGGGGCAAAACGTATCAACCTTCTCAGGAGAGACCATTTTAGACTCTTAATCTTTTCGATAAAAATCCATTAGTAGTGTGAATGCTCAACTCTATCATGGGCGCCATTTATTTGCATTTGTTTAATATGAATTACTTCACGTTAAATGCATTTGTTACTTTTAAAACAGCTTAATCTGTTCAGAAATGGGTAGTAATTAGTATGCATCTCTGTTAGTTATCACCTATACTGGTTAAATAACTCTACATTGAGATTTTGGTATAAACTTGTCCACTTGATATTTGGCTTATATTCTGTCATATTATTACTCCTTAATTGCAAAGTTGTGCTAGAGCAATCTCTAGCTCGTGAAGCACAGGCCTCTAGCACATTTGGAGATGTTAGATGTTAGTATGCTGAACTTAATGGCTGTTATGCTTGTAAGTTGCGGATCTCAAATCTTGGTCTATATAGTTCTTGGTGGGTTGATGAGGGTAAATGGATAAATGTGCCAGTGATGGATGCACAAGTGGTTCAAACAGGTCTTGCTGTCATGGAATTGGCTATGGTAGTTATGACTGTAATGTTTATGTTGATATTTTGACTGTTGATGCTATTGATTTTTACTTGAGTAACGTTTTTAGAGTAAAATGCTGGTTTTTAATCTTGATGTTTCATCTTTGTTGATTATGGTTATGGTTCTACAATTCTTAAAAGGAAACTCACCATTCTAGCTCTCAATGGTGTTTAGAATAATTTTCTTCAAGAAATTTCCTTGGGTTGCACTGAGTCTGCCATGTATTCCCAACTTGATATTCAATGTCACCATGTCAATGCCTTTCGGTTTTTTCCTGCAAGTAGTTTTCTAATTTATTTATATGTCTGCAATATTTATTACGGTTACTTGAGTGCATTTTTATTCTGAATCTACAGGGAAATGATCCAGCATAGGCCTTATACACAGAAAGTTGATGTGTATAGCTTTGGGATTGTCCTGTCAGAGCTCATCACAGGGATGCTTCCCTTTCAGAACATGACTGCTGTTCAGGCAGCATTTGCTGTCGTCAACAAGGGCGTCCGTCCGAACATCCCCAATGACTGCCTGCCTGTTCTCAGTGAGATTATGACCCGTTGCTGGGATGCTAATCCTAATGTTCGGCCATCCTTCAGCGAGGTGGTCAGAATGCTCGAGGCTGCAGAAACTGAGATCATGACAACAGTCAGAAAAGCTCGTTTCAGGTGCTGCATCAGTCAACCAATGACTAAAGATTGATGCAAAAAGAGGAAACTAAGAAAAGATTAGAGAATTGGAAAGGAAACAAATCTGATTTCATGGCAGCTGTGTATGTATCAAGCTTAATTTCTTTGAAAGGGGACGAAATTTATGATAATAACTGCTTGTTTTGTATTCCTAATTTATGGATTGAAGATTTGATGAACTAGAAGTAACAGTGGAGATTTGATGTGTATTTATTCAATATATACAAGCCTTCTTTGCTGTTTAGCATGCATGATTCATCTTTCTATGGTATGAAGAACTATAGTAGTCAATTGAATTAGACTATTAGTTCGTCAACTATGCTTGTAGTCAAACTTTATTTTCAATTACAACACCCACAAGTACTATTCATTTATATACATCATTCATTTCTATTTATTTATAAATTAAATTATTCATAAATTCTTCCCACAGAGGTTATCAATCTTTGAATTCTAATTATTTTGAAGTAATTATATTTCATTATATCTTATGTTTCTTTAAATTATGATTTTTTTT